AAAATTAGCATTGACCGGAAGTAGGAAGTCGCCTATATGAAGGGTCACAAGCGAATTATTTTCATTTTTTTGGTCATCTGAATTCAGCGCAATTATGCAAGGCGTAGAACAGCATGCGGAGTCGTTGAAAAGTCGCGAAGCGGCTTTTCAACCCTGGTTAAAAGTAATTTTAGAAGCCGAGCACGCTTCCGCCAAGGCGAAAATCCAGGAGACAATCCGGGGGATCATGATGGAAGTGCGAGATATCCTTGAAGCCCAAGCCCGGGAGGCCTAACTTGTTGTGTTGAACGAATAAACGGATTGCTGCCTAATTTGCATATGAAATACGGATTCAAAAAGAAGCAAAGAAATGAAACATAGACATCATTATTCTACTCACCCCCGTTGCCCCCAGTTTGGTTCATGAGCAGGTGGAGCTTGTGGCGTTTGCGTAAACCTAAGCCTGAGAGTAAGCCTAAGCCAAGCCAAACGCTACCGGTGTTTTTCAGTGAAAGCCGGTTAGCGCTGCTGTCGGACTCGGCGAGCCCAAGTTGGTTTCCTGCCCGATGTCCCAAATACCGTACCTCCTAGCTGAACTCGAAAAGCCGAAGCGTCTGCCGTCGCGGGATCGCTGGGGCAACTACTTGCAATTTATACTGGACTTGCGGGGGTATGCGGTCGGCCTCGGCAATGTTTGGCGCTTCCCTTACTTGGCGTATCATCATGGTGGAGGTGGGCAGTGTCTCTCTCTCTCCCTCTCGCACGCTCGCTCTCCTCATCTCTTGTTTTCAGCCGCTTTTCTGCTCCCCTACATCTGCTGCAACGTCTTCTTCGGCATGCCGTTGCTGTACCTCGAGTTCAGCCTCGGCCAATATTTGCAGGTTTAATCTTGCAGGAAATTTTAGTATTTCTCGATTTAGAGAGGTCCCGGGATGTCCTTCTTCCTGATGAAGCCCATCCTGCAGGGCATCGGCTGGGCCATGGCGGCCGTGTCGTTGCTTATTGGCCAGTACTACAACGTCATCATCAGCTGGTACGCCCTCTCTCTCTCTCTCGCTCTCTCTCTCACCCACACTCTTCAGGATCCTCCTCTACCTCAAGCAGGCCGCCCGCGTTCAGGAGTGGACCAAATGCGAGTGGGACCACAGCTCCGAGCTGTACAATCCACGTGGGTGCAAATTCGGCCCCGAACTTTTCAAGCTGTTCAGACAACAATGAAGTTTTTCCAGATTGCATCTCCGTCCAGGACAACGACATCTGGTGCCGAGAAGCGGAGGACCGTTACGGGAACAAGACGCCGTACGCCTACAATCACACGTGCTGGCCAAGCCTCGCCCCGTTCAACCAGACGATCACGGCGACGCAGATATTTTTGGAGTGAGTGAAGAGGGGCTTATCGTTTGAAGCGGAAAAGGGCTAAACTCCAGATACCCCCCCCCCAGCCGACCCCACCTACCGTATCTCGGCTCCCTGTTCATCTACAGGTGCGTAAAGTATACCAAAATACTCGCCACAGCAAGACGAACATTTTGGTTTGCTTTACACACCTGCAGATAAACAGGGAGCCGAGATACAAAAGTTGGCTGCCGGCTGGGGGGGGGATTATCTGGAGTCTTACCCGGAAAAGACATCAAAATTCACGCATTTTTCAGCAAGTTCATGCTCGGCGACACGAAAGACATCAGCGTGTTTGGCCAGTTCCAGATCAAGGTGGGGATCCGGTCTCTAAAAATGTTTGCACTTACAGAACCTGATCGCGTTGATCGTCGTCTGGCTTCTGGTGGTGCTCATCCTGTGGAAGGGGGTGGCCGTCATTGGATCGGTTGCCTACGTCACAGCCACGGTACCGTACTTCATCATAGGTGGGTTTTTGTTGCTGGACTGTTAGCAGGGGGGTGGGGTTAGCAGGGGGTGAGAATTTTGGTTTTGATTCGTCCGGTTTTTCTGAAAACCATTTTTGGTAAGACTCCAGATATCTCCCCAGCCGGCACTCCAGTTTGTATCTCGGCTCCCTGTTCATCTACAGGTGTGTGAAGTATACCAAAATATTCGTCTTGCTGTGGCGAGTATTTTGGTATACCTTACAAACCTGTAGATGAACAGGGAGCCGAGATACGGTAGGTGGGGGTCGGCTGGGGGTTATCTGGAGTTTAGCCCCATTTTCATCAACCTTTAAAGGGACCAGGATGCGCGAGAATCTACCCCTCAAGTCTTCTGGGTCTTGAAAACTATGAAAAACGTAAAAGGTTGGATAGAAAACGTACACGAGCGTCACATAGCAGTCGAGCTCCAGTCAACAGAAGGGTTGAATTCTCGCGCTCCTTAGTCCCTAAAAAAGATTCAAAGAATTTTTAGCGATCCTTTTCGCTCGCGGGATCATGCTCGACGGCGCGGCGATCGGAATCGAGCACTACCTACTCCGCCCCGACATGGCCAAGCTGACCGATGCCGCTGTGAGCTTCTGGACAAAAAATCAAATCCGAAACTTGCTTTAGACCTGGAAAGCCGCCCTCTCGCAAGTGTGTTTCTCGATGTCGGTCGGCGTCGGCGGGCTGCAGTCGATGGCGTCGTACAACGAGCCGAAGCACAACACGCTGCGAGTGAGTCGCACTATCTCGCTCTCTCCCGCTCTCTCACTCTGTCTCTAACCCACCTTCAGGACGGCCTCATCGTCGCCCTGGCCGATGCCGGCATGTCGATCTTCGGCGGTGTGGCCGTCTTCTCGGTCCTCGGCCACCTCGCCATGGTCAAGGGCTGCCAGATAGAAGACGTTGTAGAAAACGGTAACTAAAGCTCAGACTCATACTCACCCAATGACTTCAGGCGTGACCCTGGCTTTCGTCGCCTACCCGGAAGCGATCTCGACCATCTTCTTGGCCCCGATGTGGTGTTTCATCTTCTTCCTCATGCTCTTCCTGCTCGGGATCAGCACCCAGATTGGTGAGTGGTACTTTCGCGTTACCGGGGGGGGGGGCGGGGGGCGAAATCGGAAAAGAGAAGATTTCTCTTTTTCAGTCTACATGGAAACGGTCGTGTCGGCATTCGTCGATCGATGGCCCCAATTCAAGACCTCGCGTCTCCGCATCAGCATTATCGTCTGCTTCGTCTGCTTCTGGCCCGGGTTCTTGATGTGCTTTGGGGTAGCGTATCTCTCGCGTTCTCCCTCTCTCTCTCTCTTTTTCTGATCTTCTACTTCCAGTCCGGCGTCCATTGGCTGAAGCTGTGGGACGACTACAGCTCGATGGCGCTGTGTTTTGTGTGCTTCTTCGAGATTGTGGCCATCAGCTATGTGTACGGTAGGTGCCTTCAGCGGTCCTTTAAATTGGAATAGGATGGCAAAACTGGCGCCACGACCTCGAGGCGATGTTCGGCCCGCCCAAATCGACATTCGGCAAATATTTCGGCTCCACCGGCTACTACTTCTTCATGTCGTGGATGGCCATCGGACCTTGTATGGGTGCGGTGGGTGCCAGAACTTTCTCTCTCCCTGTCTCTCGCTCTCTTCTCTTTCGCTCTCTCTCTCTCTCTCTCTCTCTCTCTCTCTGGCTCTTTCCCTTTCACTCTTTCTCTCGCTTGTCTAAAGCGCCGACTTCAGCTAATGATCCTGTTCTCCGTTTCGAAGAGCGTCAAAGAAATTCAGGATGGCGAGAACTATTGTGGGTCCTGCCTTCAGGGGTCCTTTAAAGGCACCCAAACCGGCCAGAATCGACGCCGCTGATCGACTAGGTCCTGACAGTCACGCGGGACTAAAACAGACTTACGATTGTTGAGCAGTATCGGCTTTCCGCGTGATTGGGCGCGACACGTAGCTGACGATATGTAATCGGCAGAACGGGTTGATTTGATTACGTAACTGTCCAGATCTAGTAGACGTAGAGGGGTCGGGTCTGAAACCTGCAAGCACCTTTAAAACGCTGATTTCCCTAGGGTGGGTGACGCTGATTGGGTGGGCGCTGGCCGTGTTCGTCGTCGGCTGCATCCCGGGGTGTCTGCTATGGAATATCTGCTTCTACCGTAGCCAGGGGGTCAGTTTTCGCATAATATTCTGTAGTCGGCAGCTGTTTAACATAAAATTGAGTGTTGAGGATCAAAATTAGGATTTTTAGAATACAAAAGCCGCCTTCCGTGTCCACGAGAAGCACCGCTCGTACGCGCGCCTCAAAAAGGAGGCCGCCGCCGGCGTGGCGTGCCCCGGGTTCTTGGATCGATTCCTGCCTGGAGCCGATGGATGGGATGATGGTATGGATTTTAGCTCTTACTTCATTATGATCGTTTTAAAGGGGATGTGAAGTCAAATTTTTCAGTAGCGCTTGTACGAGATTTTGAGACTTTGCGCTTGACTTTAGGACCTGCAAAATCTAAATTTCTTCTAGTGAGAAAGGGCTAGTGATGTAGCAACTTATAATTATACTAAAGTACAGAAAGTTAAATTTGGTAAAGTAATAAAGCTGTGCTCCTAGTGAAAAATGGTCTAAAAATTTCGAAAACGAGGTAAAACTTTAAATTCGACGAAAATGGATCATTTTTGGGCGAAGAATCAGTAGTAAACCTGCTGGCAAAGGTTCCAAATTTTTTGCGTCTGAAAATTTAACTGACACGATTGAACAAAACTTTAAAATTTTTCCTCGGTTTACGATGATTTTGCACCTCCCCGCCAAATTACCGAGAACCCAATTTTCAGACGCCCTTCTGACGAGAAGCACGGAAACGGATGAGAAATCGAGCTATCAAACCAAGTCCACTAAGTCAACCAAATCGACCAATTCGTCCAGCTCGGGAAAGTCCATCAAGTCGCTGGCGGCCGCGCATTCGATGAGGTCAACAAAATCGACTACGCGCCACAACCCGAACTCGAGAAGCTCCAGACGCTTCGCCTGACTACCTACTACCGTAGCCCCGACTCGCCCCAAGAACTCGATTTTGTATTTTTCTTTGACCACCTCCTGCCCCCTTTCCTTATCTTTTTTTGTATTTGCTCTTTGTCTCTTGTTTTTGCATTGTAATTCGACGTAGATTTTGCTCGTTCCTACCGCCCGGGTGCCGGACGGCGTTTTTTCGATAAAGGAGTGTGCATTAGTGATTTGCATAACTTGAGCAACTGCCAAGCGTTACAATCAGAGCCTTGAATCCCATGGAAAAGAGCGTAACCGAGATTCGAGCGCGATAAGCTCATTTACGTCAGCTTTGATGCAGGAGTCGGCTGATAACAGGAACTCCGGGGTGTAGGGCTTTTCGGATTATACTTGACTTGAAGCCTAAGCCTAAGCTTAAGCCCAGGAATGAGCCCAAGTCCAAGCCTAAGCCTGGGCCAACCTACGCCAAGCCTAACATTAAGCCAGACGAAGTCTAAGTCTAAGCCTAAGTCTAAGTATGAGCCTAAGCCGAAGTATCAGCCTAATTCTAAGCCTAACTTAAGCTAATCCTGACTCCTTTCCAGCGAGGAGCAGCCCCCGCCTGGATCCCGAGATGACTCTAACGATCGTCAGCCTTCCAACTCGCAGCCGCGACCCCCCTTCCAACCCAGCGCCCGGCCCTTCTGAGGCTCCACCTCGTGCTCCAGAGGACAGGGAACGTTGGCACAACTACATCCAATACATCCTCACCTGCATCGGCTACGTCGTCGGCCTGGGAAACGTTTGGCGCTTCCCGTACTTGGCGTATCAGAACGGAGGAGGTGGGTGCTCTCTCTCTCTCGTCCTTCTCGCTCTCCCTTTTACCCTCTTTCGTTCAGCCGCCTTCCTGTTCGTCTACCTGATATGCAACATCTTCTTTGGGTTGCCGCTGCTCTACCTCGAGTTCAGCCTCGGACAATATTTACAGGTGAGTAAGCTAGCAAAGGCCATTGGCGATTTTTGAAGGCTGGTCCCGGCACGGCGTTCCACATGTTGAAGCCGGTGATGCAGGGCGTCGGCTGGTCAATGGTCGCCGTCTCGTTCTTCATCGCCATCCACTACAATGTCGTCATCGCCTGGTAAGACCGGAAAATTTTGAAGGTCTCGTGACAGGATCGGCTACTACATGACGGCGTCGTTCTCGGTGGACACGTGGAGTCGCTGCGAGTGGTACTACAGCAAGACGGGGAATCATGATTGTGGGTTTTTTGGAGAAGAGAGAGCGAGAGAAAAAAAGCGAACGAGAGAGAGAAAGCGAGCCACATAGCAACGGATCAACCTATCCTTAGTGTGCGTCTCGGCCTTCGACTACCGGAAGTGCGTGGAGGGGGGGAGGGGTCGGACAACCAGTCCTCCTACTGGTCCAGCGCCATGGAGACGTGCTTGGTCGTGCCGCAAAACCTGACCAAGACCCTGTGGACGGCGACGAACTTGCACTTGAGGTAAGCCGCATGCGTAACTCCGCGCGCTTTGGTACCCAAAACTATAGATTTTGGTGCTTTTGCCTTATCGGGGGGGGGGCGACGACCCAAAAAAGAAAAGAAAAAGGAAAGAGCAAAGAACAAAAATTTTCTTCCAGCCAAAACGTGCTCGGCGTCACGGGGAGCATCACCGACTTTGGGGAGATCCAATGGCAGGTTAGCTAGTCCCGAAAAAACGCAACTGCCGAGTACCAGAGCATCATCGCGCAGGCCTTCGTCTGGGGCCTGGTCGCCCTGATTCTAGCGTTTGGGCTGAAAGCTATCGGCCTGTTGGCCTACATCGCTGGCACGATCCCGTACATCATCATGGGTGAGTCGCGTTACGGGAGCTGCTCACACACCATTCAAGCGGTCCTCGTCGTGCGCGCCGTCATGCTGGAGGGCTCGTGGCTGGGCATCCAGCAGTTCATTTGGTTCCCCGATGGCAAGGGCTACATGAAGCTGTTCGAGCAGCAGGTGACACTGAATCCCCCGCTAACACCCCAGTACCGAAACTTTTTTAGACTTGGGAAGCGGCCATCACGCAGGTGTGCTTCTCCCTGTCGGTCGGGCTGGGCGGCGTCCAAGTTTTGGCCTCATACAACGACCAGAGCCATGATACGCTGATTGTGGGTTTTAGGCATTGAACTTCTTGAACCTGTCGTTCAAAATCCGCTTTGTGCACGAAAATCTGTTTGGCAGACCCTAAATGGCTTGAACTGATCGAGCTCTCTCCTCCGGGAATGCAAAATGACAGCCTCAAGCTCGAAACAATGTCATTTTAAAACCTCCAGGACTCCCTGATCGTCGTCGGCGCCGACATCTTGATGTCGTTGCTCGGGGCGACGGCCGTATTCGGCGTGCTCGGCCATCTCGCTTCTGTTCAGCACATTCCTTTCGACGAGATCGTCAGTGATAGTAAGCCAGACACTGGAAAGCTGAGACAGGAATTCAGAATTACTTCTCGCCTTCGTCGCCTACCCGGATGCGATCGCCGGGACTTGGGGTGCGCCCTGGTGGTGCTTCACCTTCTTCCTGATGCTCTTCCTTCTCGGGTTTAGCACGCAGATTGGTGGGTATGGGAGAAAGAGAGAGAGAGAGAGCGAGTGAGAGCGAGTGAGAATGAGAGAGAAAGAGTGAGAAAGGGCGAGAGATAGAAAGAGAGAGAGAGAGAGAGAAAACACTTCAGTCTACATGGAAACAGTCGTCGCGGCCGTCATCGAGCGCTGGGAGCTGAAAAGCTGGCGGCCGGTGATCGGCGCCAGCGCGTGCCTGCTAGGGTTCTTGGCCGGCATCGTGTTCTGCACTGGGGTGAGTATCAAAGCCAAAGCCTAGGCATCCCTAACTGCCTAAGCCGAAGCCTAAGCCGAAGCCTAAACCGAAGCCTAAGCCGAAGCCTAAGCCTAAGCCGAAGCCGAAGCCTAAGCCTAAGCCACGCCTAAGTCCACATCCTCAGGCTGGCAGCTACTGGCTGATGGTGTGGGACCAGCACAGCTCGATGGCGATGTAGTTCGTCTGCTTCCTGGAGGTGGTGGCCGTCATCTACTGTGTACGGTACGCCGTTCCCGCCTCTCACTTCCCCGACATCGACAGGCGGGCAAAACTGGCGCCACGCCACCTGGAGATGATGTTCGGCGCGCCGGTTTTTTAGACGGCCATCGCCACGATATTTTGGGTACACCGGCACTTCTTCTTCATGTCGTGGATGGCCGTCGGGCCCTGCTTGAACATGGTTCGTCGTGGTAGTGGGAAAAAGCTGTGAGCTGTCTAGGTGTTGTCCGTCTTCAACATGATCACCAGCTTCCAGCCGCCGCCGTGGATCCCGGGTAGGTGACGAAAGAGGAGGAGGAGAGAGAGATAGGAGAGATAGAGAGAGAGAGAGAGAGCTAAAAAATCGCCTCCCGGTAATGCAAAAGCACCGACATGTACCATTCTTCAGCGTGGACCGGCATCGTCGGCTGGTGCTTGCCCTTGATTGCCCTCGCCTTCATCCCCGGCATCGGCGCGTGGAACATCTTCAAACACAAGAGCCGAGGGGTATAGCTTTAGCAGCCAATAAAGCAGATGTTCTGCTACAGGACCCCTCCGGTGCCTACCGTGCCCACCCTACGCACCCCTCCTACAAACGGCTGCGCAAAGAGGAGGCGGCCGGGATCGCGCAACCCGGCATCATCGACTGGTTGCTCTTCCCGCTGCCAGTCCCCGGAAAATGGAGGGGAATGGAGGTGGGATTGTTTAAAGGGGTAGCAAAGGCTAAATTCGACTATTTAAATGACCTGGGTGTTCCAGCTACGCGTGATTTCCACGCAGTTCCTCCTATTTTCCACGAAATGCCCACAAGTGACATCAAATCCCTAGCTCTCCTTGCCACTACTTTTAATAACCCGGTATTATCAAATAAATTTTAGACCCCGATGGCAGCCAAGCCGAGTCGCCGGCCCCCGAAGACGTCAACGAGGCGCCGCAGCAGATGTAGACCAGGTCACTCGACGACTACTCATCTCTCCGCGACGCATAAAAATTTCCACATAGATTCCTCACAGATTTGCTCACTGCTTGTGATGCCACGCTCGTTTTTTCTGGCTTTCGATAAAGATTCCGATACATCTGGTGAAAATCAATGAATATGAATTAGAATCCAACCAGGGTTGAAAAGCCGCTTCGCGACTTTTCAACCCAGGCCCCGTCTGATGCCATGATATTCTTCACTTTGCATAATTCTCGCGATTTTCTATGTCAAAAAAATGAGAAACGCCAACTCTCTTCTCTTATATAAGCTACCGCAACTTCCGGCATATGCTAATTTTTCCTAAGAAAGAGGTTGTTCGATTTTTCGACAAAAAGCTTAATTTTAACGTCGAAACAGTAGAATTTTGAAAATTTTATGAGTGTGCAGTCATCCCAAGGCCATTACACACCTAATGACGTATAAAACATACCCCGAACTACTCCCCTTATTGAGATACTGCTGGAACATGCTGACGGAAGTTGCATGCAAATGCACACACACACACACACACACACACACACAGGAACTATTTTTTTTTTATTAGAATCCAATCACTTAAAATCTGATAGCTTCTCACTTTTTTTGCGGAAATTGCCGGAAAATTGCATACGTTTCCTGGTATATAAACACTAGGCAAAATAAGTGCTCCCACTTTCATCCCCGCCAACCCCACTCGGCCGCTTCGATGACGTGAGGATTATTTTTTGATTTTCTGTGGACGTGCCCTTGGATGCTAATTAGGGTACAGTAACCACGTATACTTTCAGGGACGCCGCACCCGCTTCAGCGCCGCCCACCACGCCGGAACCGTCGGCCGGCGGTGGCGAGACGACGGAGACCAAGGAGAGCGAGCCGCCGCGCGACCGCTGGGGCAATTGGTTTCAGTTCATCCTCACCTCCATCGGCTACTCGGTTGGACTCGGGAACGTTTGGCGCTTCCCGTACTTGGCGTATGAGAATGGTGGAGGTGGGCAGTCTCTTTCTCTCTATCTCTCTCTCTCTCTCTCTCTCTCTCTCCCTATCTCGCTCTGTCCCTCCAATCTTTACTTTCAGCCGCCTTCCTGTTCCCCTACATCTTCTGCAACATCTTCTTCGGCATGCCGCTCCTCTACTTCGAGATGAGCCTCGGTCAATACCTGCAGGTGCCCGAACTTCGTCGAGTCGACGTCCACGATCTTTTTAGGCCGGCCCTAGCATGTCCTTCTACAAGTGCAAGCCCATCCTGCAGGGCATCGGCTGGTGCATGGCGCTCGTCTCCTTCCTCCTCAGCATGTACTACAACGTCATTGTCACCTGGTATGGGCCTCGTTTTCTCACTCACTACCTCTCTCTCACTCTCTCTCGCTTTCTCTAGTCTCTGCTCTTCAGGATTGCCCTCTACCTCACCAAGGTCCCGTCGATCGAAACGTGGACAAAGTGCGGCAATTCTTGGAATGACAATCGTTGGTATTTGGATACCCGATTATACCTGCTTTTTATCTCGCAAATTACGAACCTACCTCTTTTCAGGCACATGCATCTTTCTCTCGAAGAAGTGTGCAGAGCAAAACTCGTCCGCGCCGATCAACTACAGGGGCGATTGCTTCAACAAAACGGCCCTCGCCTGGGTCTCGATGCAGGACAACGTGTCGGAGGTCTGTGGAGGAAGAGAGGGAATAATAAATAAAGAGAGAGAGCGAGAGAGATAGAGAGACAAGGTGAGGGCGAGAGGAGGGGTTTGGACCCGATAGACTACGGTATCATTAGTACCATTTTTGGTTCTACGAGGTCTAGCTGCCCAAAAATGTCTCGTCCAGTAGCCGGAAGAATTTTAATGATATTTTTAGTAATAAGCAAGACATTACAAAAATAATAATAATAATAATAAAAAGACACTAAAAAACGGCACTTTAACCAAAAGTCGTATTAAATAATCCTACTGGTTCTTTAGGATTTCCGGGGGGAGGAACCAAATTTTTTCCTGGTTGTCCCGGTTGACCTAGTAATCAAATATAAAGTGTTTTCACATTGCTTTAGTCAATTTTAACTATATTTAAAGTAGAAAAACCTTCAAAAAAAGTTAGAAAAATGTTTGAAAAAGTCGAAAATTCAGTTATTTTGGGTCTTCCCTCTCCCCCTCCCC